AATTACGATTAAAAAATTAATCAGAGTTAAATTACTGCTCAATTCATAGGGCTTTGCGGCCAACTCTGGCGGCACAACAAATGTCATGTTCTGTTCGGTGCGCTTAAAGTTATCAAAGCGGACGTAATTGCGTCCTAACGGCCGGATGTCCTGATAGTCTAACTCCAAGGGATAGCCGTATATATGAAGATAATGCGATGGGTTGTGAAAGCAGTGTTCGGGCAGTGGTTCGCAGCCCCGGCCGACCACCCAATCGTTAAACGCCCGCCACTGCTCTATCTTGACGTCTCTAATCAATTGGCGAAACTCGTGCCACAGTTTTGGGTCTCCCGTAGCAGAAAGTCCTATGAATTGAGCAGTAATTTAACTCTGATTAATTTTTTAATCGTAATTCATTTAATAATAATGTAGGTTATAGTATTGTTCGAGCGCCCTCTCCCAACATCTACATCCTATTGTAATTTACAAAGGGCCCCATGTTAATCCTATGGCTATACTTCAACATGATGATACTTTGTCTGAGAAAATGCTGTCTGTGAAATAACAGTCTAATCCACGTCATAGGTTTAAACATAGTAATGCTAGGCCTATGTACTATGCTAACACTATGGGACTAATGCTAATCATATGAAGAATGTTGTGTTTATAAGAATCATATTAACCCTACAAGCTTAAACTGGGAGATTAGTCTCTCATTTGCACTTTGAATTTCAATTAAAAATCAACAAAGAGTGCTAGCCAGAAAAAATTCATTAATGCCTCACAAGTAGTTACATTTATAAATCTGTAAAGTTATATTATTATAAAATTAAATTATCATGGTTAAATGTTGGTTAAATTAACGTTTGGGATATTATTTTCCCAGTTTATGCGCAATGTAACTTTTTTCATACAGTGTAAATAGTGTTAATCTTATTCTGCGTTTATTGCATAAACTAGGAAAATAATCTCCCAGCATAAAACACACTAAAGCGTGGGATATTAATCTCCCAGTTTATGCACTAACTGCTGGGAGATTACAATCCCAGTTTATTTACAACGTTATTATTTAAGTTTAAGCTTTAAGGGTTAAATATGTATATAATGCTAATCTATTACTCGACCATCACCCAAATTATGGTTAACGTATAGCATCGCTGTGTGTGTGAGTTGTTTACGCATAAATAATGTTTGTTTTTTAATAGAAATGCCATAGTTTGGGGTAGAGTTGTAAGAAGGGATATCATCGGTCGGCCGAAGTATAGGCTTTCGGTCACTGTATTTACGCCGCAGTGAGTTATGACCAGATCTACGAGCGGTAGGACTCGGATCTGTGGCACAGACTCCGCGCCCCACATATTGTCGGCCAGAGTGTACTCCATATGCTTCGGACCCATCGATACGATGAAACGGTGCCGAGATTTGGCCAAAATGGCAACCAATCGGCGCATGTTTTGCACGTCGACCGGACAGAGAGAGCCAAACGAGAAGTAGATCAACGCTCCGGGCTTTGCGGCCAACTCTTGCGGCACAGCGAATGTCATGTGCCGTTCGGTGCGCTTAAAATTATCAAAGCGGACATAATTACGACCCAACGGCCGGATGTCCTGATAGTCTAACTCCAAGGGATAGCCGTATATATGAAGATAATGCGATGGGTTGTAAAAGCAGTGTTCAGGAAGTGGTTCGCAGCCCCGGCCGACCACCCAATCATTAAACGCCCGCCACTTCTCTATCTTCACGTCTCTAACCAATTGGTGAAACTCGTGCCACAGTCTCGGGTCTCCCGTTGCGGACAGTCCTATGAGTTGGACAGTCATTTACCTCCGGATAATGTTTAATCACATTAAATGTAAGTATAATGTGTGTTATTGTATCTTTCAGCTGCTGGGACATCATGTTAATCATGTGGCTAAACTTTAACATGCTGAAAATACTTGTCTATGAAATAACAGCCTAAGTCCACATCATAATATGATGTTATGTCATATCACATATTATGTTTAACACTAATGTAGTAATCATTAGTTTATGTTCAATGCTATACTAACTCTTTGTCACAAAGACTTTGGGACTAATGCTAATCATAATATGGTCAATGTTATAAACATATTATGGATAATGTTATGTCTACAGTATGTGCAGTTTTAAGTCTATCGTAATGTTAAGTCTATGGGCAATGTTATAGGACTAATATTAAATCTGTATATAATTTTCATTTATTATTTGAGCATCATCCGACTTGTGATTAACGTATAACATCGCTATGTGTTTGAGTTGTTTATGCATACATCAAATGTTTCCGCTTAAGATTGATAGCGTTATTAAAGGTTTGGGTAATGGTGTAAGCAGAGGGGAGTGGTGGTGAGGGGGGGGATTGATAGCGAAACTATAGGTGTTAACAAAATGCTAACAAACCTGATTCCCCGGGCGGTGTCCTCTCATCGTCGAGGATCAGAAGAGGGCTGGAGCTCCAGAGCCACACACACGGTATGCCAGACAACTCGACCGCTGGCAGTGTCACCGCCTGATCCACAACTATGACATCGGGCCGAATGGCGGGCAACAGACGGGCCAACTCTGTGTCCAAATATTGGGCGTGTTTTGTCCAAAACTCGGCGGTGTTTCCGTCGAATCGGACCTTCTCTATGGCCGACGCGCCGCCAATTATACCCAACGATACCAGCGATTGCTTACTGAGGGCCGCATCGATCACTCGATCATCGGTTGCGTTACTTTTGTCCGATGGACTAAAAATAGTTTTTTTTGAAATAATAAATTCCCGTAAAGAAGAATTGAATAATAGACTCAACAAAATGTAATGTACAGTATTCCTAAGGCTTATCATTAGTTATGTTATAATAAGAGGCAATATTAAGGTTGTATTAAAAATATTATTAAAGAGTTTTTGATTACATATAGAGAGACAGGCATTAAATGCAAAATTTATATTTTATAAAAATCTAAATAATGATAATACGGGCACATTTCAAAAATTACATAAAATTATTGAGAAATTAAGAAAAATACTATCAAATAACACAATAAATGCATGACTTTTATCAAGAGATTAGAGACGAGAATACATTTTATGGGAATATTGATGGCTAAGAGGGGACACGCGATGGCCCCCTGTTCTCAGTGTTGGTAAACAAATAGTTTGCATAACAAATGGGTATTCATTACTATAGCGGATGAGTACATGAGTGGACACACATCGGGACAGTGGAAGGAATTTAAATCATACAATACTTGAACACTAATTGAACATATAATGCAGATTAATGCTAAGATAATGGATATATTTTAACATAGATAATGCTAAATCAATGGCTATATTTATTGTACAGTTTTTCCGGATTTAACGGAATTTTTCAGAGAATTTACTATAATTCTACGTTATACACTATTCTGTTATAACCGAGTCTATTATTAGTTGTACACATATCATTATACACCAATAGGAGCTGTATGTACAGCAATAATATCGGGTTCTAAACGGTTTTTAGCTATAAATAGGACCATTATATCCGGTGCAAACTGTATTAGTTATGTTGTCAATAAAGTTATATATTTTCTTTTTTTTTAAATCTCACTAAAATTACTTAAATAAGGCAAAATATTTGTTAAATTAATTTTAAGGCTCATCACTGTCTATGCTTTTAAATGGATTTATTGACCGGAATATTGAGTAAACTTTTAGAAAATAAGAAAAATTTATTTGGAGAAATAATGATTGAATTTGTGTATTATATTTTATATGATATACAAAAATTATATAATTCTTCCCTACAATATATGTAAAAATTACTTTTTTTTCATAATGAAAAACAAATAAAACGTTTAGACCATGGTTAGGAAAGGGAGGGATACCGTAATTCTTGGTCAGCATCTGCGGGCAGAATTGTCAGCAATGTGCCAGGCCTTTAGCGGCTCCGGTCCAGGTGCATAAGCGCCCCCGGCCAACACAGACAGGAACTCCCGAGGCATCAGCCGACCATGTACCGAGGGATAATTGGGATAAAGTGTTAATATTGGTAGTGTGTTTGCGGGGCGGGGCTATCCCACCGCTGGTTGTAAGCCCGCCAAAATTGGGCTTATACACCCACGGAGTGGGGGTCATTCTGGAGAATACCCTTAAACATACATACATTCGCACTTCACACACATATATAACATTATATTGAATTAAACACATATTTAATGATAAAAACATTTATTAAAAGTAAATATTAAGAACAGACAATACAAACAAACAGTGCTATTTGAGCGCTACTGGTATTCTGACGAGAGATGTGTTGATGTGATCATCACATCTTTCATCACAGGGCAAAACGCCGAGTCATAGCAATCTAATTGCTATTAAATGCAATGACTGGCAAAACACCGCTTACAATATATATAAATATGACTCCTATAGTAATATTTTTATTGAAGCAAACTATAGAACATTTGAAGAAGTATTCGTTGATTTATATCAAGTGACTTATGAAACCATTGATATTACAAAACGTAACACTTGTGTACAAACTATAAACACAACACAACATGATGGTAAAAATATTTTAAAATATTTTCTTTATTTATAATTATGTTTAAATATATAAATTTATAATAGAAACCAATTGCGAGATAAATAATATAGAAATGTATGAAGTATTGGAAACGTTAGGATCCGGTGGTTTTGGAAATGTTTATAAAATAAGAAATAAATCCACCTGGTAAATTAATGCGATGAAGAAATGCCCATTAAATAGTAATATCACGTTTAAAATTATTATAATTAAAGGCACCAAAAGAGTGCGATATTGAGTGCATTATTCACAGAAAAAATCTAAATCTGTATATAATGTTTATTTAATCCATTGCATAATTCAATGTTTTATTGGATTTAACTTTAATATTTTAATTAAATATTTTGTTTTTATGTAAATACTGCACCTAAATCTCACAATTTTAATTTATTTAACGAGCAAACTTTGTTTGGTGCGAAAGAGACATCTTGATGTTTGTGTATTATCTAGTAGAGTATAACATAAAAATAATTTAATACCAATATTTTTTATAACTTATATCAGAAGGTGTGGTTATCATTGCAACGTGATAAATTCAAACGCCGTCCACACCTACCTATATAATTTACAAAAAAATTACATATTATATTATTTATTATGCTCTACTTTACCAGAAAGACACAATACATCAAGATGTCTCTTTGGGACCAAACAAACTTTACTCGTAAATATAATATATATTAATTTAATAAATTGTCGAGATCGGTAATGAGCACACTTACGGGCGAAGTATGACCACTACTGTCACAACTATTAACTATAAACTTATTTATAATTATTTAAAAGAAATACACAAACACCAATATCCATTAATTGAGATGGAATTGGAGCAAATAAAATATGAGACAACACAATATCCATTCCATTATCTGTGTGATTCGCCATGGCCATATTCAAACGAAATTCACATCGATGTAGATTTATCTAATATTCTAGATGATTACCCACTGACTGAATTTAAAATGGATACCAACCCTAGGGGTACGGCAATCATAATAGTTAATATACCTGAGTTGGTTAATGAGGCGGAACGATTCAGGTCAATTTTCACACAATTGCTATTTGATTGTGACGTTCATTATAAATTAGATTGTAAACAAATTAACAAATTAAGCGAGATAGCCAATATTGCCAAATATGAAGGTGACGCGTTTATTCTGATGTTTATCGGTTACGGTTGTGATGAAAAAATTTTGGGCTGGAAGACAGAAACGAATGACGAATTGAAACAAACCGAATGTGAATATATTTCATTTAGCGATATTGTGGCCACATTTTGTTGGACACGTGCGCCCGCATTACGTAATAAAACAAAATTGTTTATTTTCAACTGCGGACGAACAAGTATGGGCTAACCAATAAATATTATTTTGCAATTTAACATTATTGATTACTAAATTATGTCTATATGATCAATCTATAAATAATTTGTTATATATAATATGTATTTATTTTATTTATAGAGTCTAAAGACGATAATTATTATAGTTTTGATAAACCTGATCTTGTGGCTACGCTAAAGAAACTTGACTCACAATTTCAAAATGATAGTAAACAACTTCATGTCATATACAGTTGCCGTGAAGGTCGTTATAAACTATTTATATTACATATATTTGCCAAATCGATATTTATTTTAAATTTAATATTTAATTTTATTAGGATACAATATGTATTTCAATAAAATAGATGGCCCCATAGAGTACGTAACTCGTTTTGGTCAAGCCTTTAGTAAAACAATAGCGCAGTACGCGGTGTATAAAAGTCTGATTGATTTGTTTGTTATTGTATGTATGTTTAAAAATTATATAAAACTTTAATATTTATATATATTTATCTCAATTTTCAGACTCTAAACCGAATGGAAGCCGAGTGTGAAGATTCAGATGAGTGGCAATTGCCAGAAATAGAAATGTTTGAAGTGACAAAGAAACTTTATTTTTACCCTGGATTATGGAGAAATGATTCGGTATTTGATACAATCATTACATAAATTACTTAACAATTAATTCTATATTATAAAACAACTCACACACAGCTACCCTGTACGTTAACCACAATTTGGGTGATGCTCAAATAATAGATTAGCACTATAGACTTAACATTGTGCATAGAATTTGTATTATTTCCATAAATTGCCATTAAATCATATGATTAACATGAACAAAAACTACACTTTTTAATATTTCGTTTCCAATAAAAAACAAGGTTCACACAGCGATGCTATACGTTAACCACTATTCGGGTGATTCTCAAAGAATAGATTAGCATTATTCTACTTTCTCACCCCGCCCGCTTTAAACTTAACATTGGTTAATGCTATTCTATGG